CCGGCCAGCCACTTCCACCACATTGTATAGTATGCTTCTCTCTATCTTGTTCATCAGCTGAAACTTTTTCTTGATCTGCCCACTGTCTTGGATGAAATCAGACACCTCTTTCTCCATCCTTTTACGGAACTCCACTTTTTGTTGTTTCTCTTGCTCCTGTAGTTTCTTCAGGTGGGCAGCCTGCTCTCGGCCCTGTGCCGAGTTTCCTGGTCACTGAGGCTGGTGGCTTTTCCATGGAGCTCAGGATGGAGCCCAGTAGGTCCGCCATCTTGGGAGTGACAGAGACGGGCTGTACAGGTTTTAAAAGTGGAGCTTGTCAGGTCTCTCAGCCAACGGGGGTAAATAATGGTGTTTCCTTCCTCCCAGCTGGAAAGGTCCCAAAGCGCTCTCCCATGTTCATGAAAAAGATGGCACAAGGTGCAGGTTCTCCAAATTATAGGTCAGTACTGATTAGATTTATCTGAAATATCTGCCACATATACTGTTCTTAATTCCTTTATGTCTCCTCGTTTTACCCTACAAAGCATCTGGAGCCCAAGAGGACAAATGAGTCCAGTGGATCCCATGTGGTGTTTGTGCTGATTAAGCAGAATTTGGGGATCCTTCTGCATCTGTTTTAAAGAGCTCTTTTGAGGGGAGAGAATGGTCTCTTGACAAGTATATTTTAATTCTTTCTTACAGTGAACTTCCAACAGAGAACAAATACAAATATCAGTTTAGACTTTTTACTTCCTTCTTGACACCATCCCATTATCATCACACACTCACCCTGGAATAGAAGCCATGAACAGGGAAATAGCAGAGAGCGAGCTTCACATCCCCTCCTCCTGAGAGAAAGACTAATTTGCAGGGGCTCAGAAGGAAACAGCAGTTTCATGGTCATTGTTCCCCACCTAGTAGTGCTTGGTTGCGCTTCAGGAAACCCCATTGCCCAACCTACTTCTCCTGGCTAGGGTGTTGTATATTTTGAGCTTTAGGAATCTTTTATCAAAGCTGCTTCTGCTTTTATTGAGTTAGCTTGAAGCAAAAACGTGTTCTTAATTTTAGTTTGTTTGAAAGCACTGTATTCTCAGTGTTTTAAAAACAGTTTTGTGAATACATACGCAAGCAAGTATGTGTGGGCATGCACGTGGGGTGTGTGTGTGTGTGTGTGTGTGTGTGTGTGTTTGTGTGTGTTCATTCACGTGAACGTCACTTCATGACCCCCAGAGACTTATTGTTGTAAATAAGGACTTACTGCTCTAAATAAGGATGGCAGCTGGCCACTGAATGTCCACCCTGCAACTTCCCAGCTGAGTGCCTGGAAGATCACTGAGCCTCATCTAAAGGCAGCCTCAGTGTTCTCCACTGTAAAATAGGATGTAGGTGTCCCACTGAGCAAAGAGGAGGGGTTTAATAAGTGTGCCCCCTACATGATAGGCATTCCCTTCCACCTGCATATATCAGTGTCTCTTTCTTAAGCTGCTTTGAGGGAGAGTTTGGAATTATACAGACACATTACAACTTGCTGGATAGCAAACTATAAACTATTAATCCAGTTGCTCTCCTTTGACTGTAAGGAGAGATGATGAGCTGAACACTCTGAACATAAAAATGTGTCCACAGAGAGCCTGAGCTTCCTGGAGTGTCATTCTCCTGACCTCAGTGTCCTGTACCCATTAACAAAACAAAACAAGACAAAACAAAACAAAACGAAACACAAACATGGGGGAGCAGCTCACTAGCATTCGATGTAGAACCAAGTGCCTTCTCCCACATAGACATAGAAGTGGTTGGCTTAGAAATCTGCTTGAAGGGAAGCAAAAGGCCTGGGGATGCCAGCAACTAGGAAAGGAGCGCCTGAATCCTAACCAACTGTAAGTGTGTCAGTTGTGAAATAGTCCAGGTAGAACATTGTTCTTAGAGTCAGGTTTCAAATGATAGTAAAATGGAAACAGACTTGGAATACTCTGAGAGCGGAACACACTGGTTCTGGTGAGCTTTCTGGTTATTGTTTTAGCCCATGCTGTTGAAATTCTTTTTTTGTTGTTGTTGAAATTCTTTGTGGGAGGACATTTCATTGGCTCTCCTGTCTTCAAAAGTCTGTTGTGATGTAGGAAGGAGATTTTATTCTAATCTCATTACTGAGGACCTTAGAGGGTCTCCCAGCTGTTAGTCTAACATTTCTTTGTTATTGTACAGTCATCTAGATATGGGATAGGACTGTTATTGGGCTGTGTGCGTACTCATCCCTGGAGGGCTATGTATTTTACCTACATTCCTGAGGATGATGTTGTGTTACTTGGGGCCCTGGGAATAAGCTCTATTCATTGGAGGATTCAGCAGGAGGAAAGTTGGTTCCATGGAGTGCACATTGACATAGCCTTCCAGAATGCTAGTGAGTCAGAACTTAACGCCAGAGTTCTAGTATAAATGAATCAGTCATTTATACTCTGGTGGTAGTGAGGATATGGCCTGCTCCTCTCCCCCCATCTCTTGGTGGCCAGGGGGGATGGATGGTGGGTGATAATGAAACCTTTGCTCCTAACTGCCTACCTGCTTACTGGAAATTGTGATAAGGGGTGGTGACCACCACTTTTTTTTCTTCTCTGCAAAGCCCATTACCATAACCAATACAGAAATTTAAAATAGTATCTCCAAACCCTCTCAGATGGTGCATTTGACCTGAATTAGTTTTTCATAATGGCATAGCTAGATTTTCCCACATAAGCGCTTTAACAACATAACCAAAAAGCTCATTTTTGAGCTTTTGCTATTGTTGACAATGGTTATCTTGCTGCTGCTAATAGAAACTAAAAAGTTCATTTGCCAAAATGATTGTCATTTCCTTCTTAGAAGTGCAGCTTAACTCCAGGACTTCATTTAGTCAGGGGAAAATGGTTGCTACCTCCTTGTTAAGCTTCTTTCCATTATCCATTTGTGACAGAATAACTGTGGGGGAGGCCTGGGGAGATGGGAGTAAAATAAAGGAACAGCTAAGAAGTAGTTCTGCAGAATATGTACCTCTATCTGAAAGCCTGTATGGAAAGGACGGTGGCTTTAGAAAGGGGGTAAAGTGGGAGGGGGTAGCAATCGTTGAAGCATGACAGCCTCCAAAGGCTCCTGGGACTTAAAAACAAAAAAGGGAGCCTTTTGCAGATCTTTCCCTTGCATATGTCTTCCTCTCCACCATCCATTCTCCCTTGCTGTTTTGTAAATCTCCCAGTTGGAAATTTTTTAGCATGGGAGAGCTTCTTCCTGTGCTTCAGTTGGCAGGATGCTCAAACACAGCTGCAAAGAATTTGCTTCCCCTTTTCACAGCATCTCTCATTTAAAAGCATTAGTGGGACTACAAAACAAAATTAAAACTTGAGGATTTTTCAGAAGTGGACGCCAAGTTTAATTAAAGTCGAGGAAGTTCAGGGCTATAACTCTTTTGTCAAATCTTTTAAAGTCAAGGCATGTGCCAGTGGCAGGCAAGGTGGAAAGTGCCAGCAGCTGTTCCCGGTGAGGAGATTTAAGGCTCCTTGTCTGGTTTGTTCTTGGGAATATCCTAGAGTTTATCAAAACACGTGCTGAGCCAACATCTCTTGGTGGCCTCAAAATGGTTGCCGCTTTGTTAGTTGGTTGCTTCCTTGTTGAAGGAGAAAAGTCCTTATAATAAGCTTTCTGTCTCCTCTCAACCCAATCTGAATGCCCCGCACTCCGTGCTCCACCCTCAACCCCTGACCAAGCTACTGGGCTGTAAAACTTCTTATCTAAAAAGTGCAGGTTCTGACTTGATAACTGACTTCTTGTAATCTAGTGCACTTTGGAGATACCCCCTGAACATTTGGGTGATTAACTGGCTTCTTGTTATTGGATGTTCACAAAAATCTGCTCTGGCTCTATAGGAAAATGCTCTCTGTTGTTCGGGCAGCATTTATGTACATCTGGAGTGTTTTCACTGATGAATAGACCAGTGTCCGGTCTGGGTCCAGAAATGAACTGTTGTCACTTCAGACCTGGATTGTCAGCAGAAAGGGTGCTTATATGATTTACCTCACATATTGGAGATAGGTAAATTTAATATTCTGTGACATGACCTTAAATTGAGTTTTGCAAGGAGATTGATTAAGCTTCATCCCAACCTTTTCATTTTTTTCCTGAGAAGTTATATAGAAGTGTGTGTGTGTGTGTGTGTGTGTGTGTGTGTATGTGTGTGTGCGTGTGTGGTTTTATTGTTGTTTTTTAACACTAGGAATATTTAAAAGGGAATTATACTCATCCCTTAGTACTTCTGTAGATATAGCATTTCTTTCTTCAGACAGAGGAAATAGTTTCCTCAGGATGTTGGGGATTTGTGTATTTGGTCCTAATCATTTGTTAGGTAGTCTGAATATCTCTTCATTTCACAGGAATTGATATTTTAAGAAGCTGAATGGTTTTGAGTCCTGTCAAGCTAATAGGTTGTACAGCTAGAGCTTGAAAGGTAACTTTGGACTTGATAGTGACTGTGTTATAGAGGCATTGGGTTCTGGTTTGGGTTTTTGCTCTGCATGTAACTTACTTTGCCTTTCCACAGTCGAGTTTTCCTTAGTTGTGAAGTTGTGTATGATTGGAACATGATTTTTGTCTTCCTAGACTTCCCTTTTTTTGCAGCCTGACTTCTCTTTTACTTTATTCAGTTTTAATTCTACACATATATATTATCTACTTTATATATTCCAATTATCTATACTAGGTGTACCGGTTAATAATGCGGATTTTTTTCAATAGATGGAGTTACACATATGTTGATATATATGTGATTTGATATGTATGCTATTTTGTTGTGTTGACAACAAGCTTCAAAACTTCATATGTCAAATTTTCTGAAGGTGTTAACATCATAGATATTTTTACACTTAAAAATGTCGAATTTCGTGCTGAAAAAAAGAGCATTTGCGGGAAGTTTTAATTCATTAGTTTATTTTGAAGAAAAGTGCTGCTGAATACTTCAGGAAGCTTATGGTGAACATGCTCCAGCTCAAGATACTTGTGAACGCTGGCTTAAATGCTTTAAAAGTGATGATTTCGATGTGAAAGACAAAGAACGTCCAGGTCAACCGGAAAAATTTGAAGACTAACAATTACAAGTATTATAGGATGAAGATGCATGTCAAACTCAAAAACAACTTGCAGAAAGATTAAACGTTGCTCAGCAAACAATTTCCGATCGTTTACAAGCAATGGGAAAGATTTTAAGGGAAAGAAGTGGGTGCCACATCAGCTGAACGAAAGTCAATAAAATGTTGCTTCAACAGGACCAAAGAAAGTCTTGCATCTAATTGTGACTGGCGATGAAAAGTGGATTTATTTGGAGAATCCCAAACGCACTAAATCATGAGTTGATCCAGGTCAACCATCAACATCGACTGCAAGGCCAAATCGATTTGGAAAGAGGACAATGCTCTGCGTTTGGTGGGATCAGGAAGATGTGGTGTATTATGAGCTTCTAAAACCAGGTGAAACTGTTAATACTGATCACTACTGCCAACAAATAATCAATTTGAACTATGCTTTGATCGTGAAACAACCAGAATGTGCCAGAAGACATGGCAAAGTAATTTTGCTTCATGATGACGCACCATCACACACTTCAAAACCAGTTAAAGACATCTTAAAAGATCTTGCCTGGGAAGTATTAACCCACCCACCGTATTCATCAGATCTTGCTCCTTCAGATTACCACTTGTTCCAATCGATGGCACACGCACTTTCTGAGCAGCATTTCAAAACATACGAAGAAGTGGAAAATTGGGTCTCTGAATGGTTTGCCTCCACAAATTACTTGAAAGATGGGGGAAATGTGTAGCTAGTGATGGACATTACTTTTAATAAAGCACTTTTGATGTTTCTCTTGAAATTATTGTGTTTTCTTTGATTATAAAATCTGCATTATTAACCGATACACCTAGTATATATAAAAGCCCAGTGACCCGAACGGCAGAATGACTGGAATGACCGGTCACTATGACGGGCACTGCGGCAGCCAACCATCCTGATCTGGGCCCCGATTGGCCCCCTCCAACCACCTGCAGGCCCTCCCCCTTGCCAGCCCTCCCCCGCCCAGCTGGCCAACCTCCCAGGGTCCTTCTGGCCGGCCAGCTGGCTGGCCCCCCGATAGGCCTTGATCGCTGGCCAGGCCGAGGGACCCCACCTGTGCACGAATCATGCACCGGGCCTCTAGTATGCATATATTTTACTCTAGTGGTGTGGAAGGACATGAGGAGGGAAATCCAGGATTGAGACCAAATATGAGGGTTTTAGACCAGTGATAGGAATCGCACAGGGATTGTGTTAAAGGGGATCTTCTCATTCAGCAGTCAGAGGTGGGGCCTGAGATTCTGCATTTCTCTCAGTCTCTCTGGGGATCTTCCTGTATCAAGCAAGGGTTTAGGACTAATTTTATTCTTGTGGGTAGTTCGTGCAGTGGTTCTCTTCCTCTTCTCATGTCTTTGTTCTAACATGAGTAGCTTCGTTACCAAAGATCTCCTCTACCAAAAAATTTCTGAACTACCAGAGACTGAAGATCATGGTAGTCATTCTCCCACAATTGAATGATGTTTAAAAACAGTGATGGGCCCTAGCCGGTTTGGCTCAGTGGACAGAGCGTTGGCCTTTGGACCAAAGCAGCGGTCACCAACCTTTCAGACCTCAGGGACCACCAGTTGGCGATCGCTGGACCAAAGGGTCCCGGTTTCGATTCCAGTCAAGGGCACGTACCTTGGTTGCTGGCTCCTCCCCGGCCTGGTCTCTGGTCGGGGCTCATGCAGGAGGCAACCAATTGATGTTTCTCTCTGTCTTTCCCTCTCTCTTCCACTCTTCCTAAAAGTCAATGAAAAAACATCCTTGGGTGAGGATTAACAACAAAAAAAAGTTAAAAAATAAAATAAAAACAGTGATGGGAAGCAATGTTCGTGACCTGTTAATCTTGCTGTGGCTAACGGGTTCCATTCCAGTGCTACAGCAGTCCCGGTGAACCGTGATTGACTGACTGACTGGTGGCTCTCAGTTTCAGGTCTTGGAGACAAGCATGGGGCGGGGGAGGAGGGCTGAATAACACAACAGCCATGATGGGGTTGTAAAACCTAAGCAGTGCTTGAAGAAACCTCTTTTGGCCCAGTGTCTTGAATGCTCCTCTCTGAGGACCATTCACTTCTTATTCTGGAAGGAAGCCTGGTGTTGTTTCCTTACAGACAACTAGTTATAATGCACTGTCTGTATAGTGTTATACATTTCCTCAAACTCTGTCATGTCTCATTTGGTAAACACAGAGCAGTCACAGGAATTTCTGTGTAGAGTCCTTGCTGTCTTGCTGGTTTCTATCCAGAACTCATGTTGAAATGATGAGTTTATGCTTATATGTCTTTTAAAAAAAGGAAAATTCTCTATTGGAGTACTTTGATCAAAAACATACCTAAAAATAAATGTTTTATGTACAGTATTTTACCTATTCAGGTCTAACCACAACCCTGTGATGTGGGCATTTTTTCCCAATTGCAGTTGAGGAAACAAGGCTATTCAAATCTCCCCCCTCAGCTGAGATTTGAATCCTAATCCTGTTTCACTTTGAAGGTTTGTGCTGTCTTCCCCATCTTGGCAGGAGTACTGCCTCCAGGTTCTGCAGCCAGATCCCTGGGCTTCAATTATGATTCTTGTCATTTACTTGATCTCCTAATTTACTTAATCTCTCCGTGTCTCAGTTTCCTTATCTGTTAAATGGGGGGCCTAAGTTTAGTATCTGTGCCAAATAATTTGGAATGTCTGGCACTTCCTGTGCATTTGATTTCTATTGCGATTTTATTGCTACATGTCACTGAATTTATAAACCCAGCCCCCCCTTGGTCCCACCTCCTACTAATGTTTTGAAAAATTATTCTCCCAAGTGTTAAACAGTATCTTAATGATTTTTCTCTCAGGTTAAAAGGTGTGATAGGTTAAGAGATTGCATTTATGTGTTGTTATCAGCATACAAAATAAAACCTATTAAGTGGCTATTTATGGAGAAGGAAGTTGGACTATTCAGATTCGGTGCTTACTGGATTTTGTGGGTTTTTATTTTTTACTTGCTCAGTTTCCGGGGGTGGAGGTGGGGAGGACCCTGCCTAGAAACATTGAAACTTCCTCATATTAAGAGTAACTGCATGTCCTAGTCTTCCCCACACTGCTGTGCACTGATGTCTTGAGACTATTTTAAAAAATATTTTTTATTTGCTAACAATAATGAATACACATAGTGGGTTCTCTCTAAACATATATTGAGTTGAATAGCCAAATGATTAAAGATTTATAAATGGGATGGATGAGTGTTTATAATCTCCTTCTGCACATGCTCCCACTGTGCCTCCTCTGGGACAATACAAGCCCTTACTTATAAAAGTAAAGAAGTGATCTTCAAATAATGATTGTGTTCTTTGCAAAGTTGTTTCTAAGGGCATTTTTTTTTGAAGCATGATATTTAGAAATTAATAGGATCCTGCATTCCTAAAGATCAATCTCATTTTGTGGGGAGACTCACTGAAGAACCTATTGGTTTCATTTTTTTCCCCCTTCTGTATTTCTCCAAGTTTTTCTGTTCTTTTTCCTTTCCCAGTTTTTAAAAATAAGGTTTTTGGACATTATGAAATATTATTCTTTGCATTTTATGAGACTTTTGGGGATAGCCATAATGTTTTTGTGTGCTTCTGTGGAGGTGTAAGAAGAACCCAGTGGATTTTTGCCTATTAACTAGAAAATTAAGTGATTCTTATTTTCACAGAAAAGCTAAAGGTTTCTGTGTATTATCTAGTATTTTGTTCTGAAGAAACATGTTCTATTTGTAAGACAGGACGTGTGTGGGGAAAGGGCAGTTCAGCAAGCATTGTCGGGTTCTCAGATCCAAATTAATTCAGATAATTTTTTTTTTTTAAATATATTTTATTGATTTTTTACAGAGAGGAAGGGAGAGAGATAGAGAGTTAGAAACATCGATGAGAGAGAAACATCGACCAGCTGCCTCCTGCACATCCCCCACTGGGGATGTGCCCGCAACCAAGGTACATGCCCTTGACCGGAATCGAACCTGGGACCTTTCAGTCCGCAGGCCGACGCTCTATCCACTGAGCCAAACCGGTTTCGGCTAATTCAGATAATTTAACACAACCTTAGTAACTGATGTCTCCAGAGTGCTTTATTATATATCAGCCCAGGAGATGAGAGGGAGGTTTTAGAACTTGAATTTTTATGTATAAAAGGGTGATTTAGAAGACCAGAGCCAGCAATTCGGTTGGCTGACTTTTGCATCTGGGTTTTTCTCTTAGTGCTGCTGCTTGGCTTCTTTAGTCTTTCCTGCATCTAAGAAGGAGATTTTAGAGGTTTCCACTTCTCCTTTCCTGTTATTTTCCACTCTCCCACCTATCACATCAGTGGGACCCTTAAAAAGCTATTGGGGGAAAAAAAGCTATTGAGAATCTGATGGTCTAAAGCTCCACCTGCAGTTAGAAGCTGGATGGCCTTCTGGAATGTTCTTTCCACAGAGGCTGGTAGGAGTGTCCTGGCTGAAGGAGGTTAGGCCTTTATTGTTTTGCTATTTCTAGAGAGGCCACTGCACTTCAAGAGGTTTTTCAGGCTTCCCATTTTGTGTGTTAGAATTAAAAATGGGTTTTGCTGGGATACCTGAGTTTCTTCTGACTTGAGGTCACATCCATGGGTGTCAGAAGAGAGAGAGGCAAGAGGTGTGCAGGAAGCAGAAAGAGCTGTCCTATCTGCCTGTGAAGTGTCTATGTTCCCAGGATCCGGGATTGGAAAGCACAATACAGGGGGCAACAGAAAGACTGGCCTTTGGGGTCAGAGGCAAAGACAAGAGCAAGCTGAAAAAATACCCTGACCTAGAATATGGTTATATAGATAGGCCTTTGGGTCTTTGGGGTTTTTTGTTTGTTTGTTTTTTTTTTAAAGGCTGTGTGCTGTGCACAGCTGATTTGGAAAATTTCCTACATACACAGCTTCTTCATTAAATACTGATACCGGTTAATTCAGAATCGCTTGTAATTGGAAGCAGCTGCTGTTTCCCAGTTGACTAGGTGTTGGAGTCAGATGCTTTGAATTAGCTGGACTTAGATTATTCATATTTTAATTAAAGTCCGTTTTATCCCCCCAGTCTCTTGCCTCTCCAGTGACCAGGATTTTACAGTAATACATTTGAAATTACATGAGTATCCCAGTAGAAAGGCATAATGTAAGTTGAAGGACTTGCAGTTGATTATGGTCTTGTATTATTAAAGAGTGAATTTAACTGCTTTGCAATTTCCTTTTCTCACCCTCTGAACCTTGCTTCTGTAGTGAAGGAAAATTTCATTCCATTTAGAAAAGTTGAGACTTTTGTCCCCTTTCCTCCTCTTGGGACACAGGCATATTAGCTTAATTGCTTGTGTCACTACTACAGGGAAGGTGCTGCATGAAGTGGGACACACACTTTTCTGCTACTTTTCGTCTAATGGGGTTTACAAATTAAGCTGTGAATAGTGGGGCTTTGGGGCAATGGGATATTTTCTTAGAAGAAAAAAAGGTTAACAAGTGCTATGGTGAGGCTGTTTATTGCTACTGTGTGGAAACAGAATGTTTAAGCAGCTTGTAGGAAAAAAAATGCCTTAATTTTCTGAAGAAAAGTTAGAGGGAAATTTGCCTTGCATTTCTTTCTCTATGAAGCTAATGAGGAAGAGAGGCTATGCTGGAAGGAGTTGAACGGATGTTTCCTTCTTTCCTTTCCAATTTAAGGTACCTAACTTGACAAAAGTTTGACTTGATAAATGTCCTACTTAATTTAATTTTGTGTTAGTCCCTCTCCTCCCCCTGAGTGTCCAGTTTTGGCTGACTTGCAGAAAAACCAGAACAGTGCAGAGCCATCAGATTTTGTACACCTGTTATAATGCTTAAGCATTCTACGTGGCCTGGTAAATTTAACAGGGTGTAGGAGACATGATCTTTGTCAAAAAAGGAGTGTAAGGTGTCCCTGGAGAGACAGAGCATATATCTGTCAGTGCATTTAGGGAATTATGTAAATCACTGTCAGTGTGTCCTGAATGATTTGGCATTGTTATGTACTCAGCACTGGGACAGCCGAGGGAGAAGGAAGGAGTTCTAGGGTTGGTCGGCTGTGTGGAGGTAGAATTTTACCATTAGCAACCATCAGTTTGTTCTCTGTATCTGCGTCTGTTTTTGTTTTGCTTGCTTGTTTGTTTTGTTTATTTTAGATCCCACATACAAGTGAAATCATATGAATTATCACTTGGTCCATTACCCTCTATGTTGTCAGAAATCAAGTGTATTACCGTTATCTCCTTTCTTGCTAATGTATAAAAGCCTTTACAAACACTACTTTATTAAAATTCTGCTGTCATTCCTTTGGCTCTCCCAGTACAGTGGTACTTACATTATATCGTTATTAATTTGCACTTGTGTTGATTGGTCATTATTGGTGTTGCACTGCCCTCTAACCTCCCAGCTGTTGTCATAGTTACCTTTTTTTTTTAAAGTTACTTTTCTGCTCAACTCTTTCATAGCCCTCTATTGCTTATGGTATAAAAGCTAAACTTTAAGCATTACTAAAACCCTTTTTTAGATCATAGCCCTCTATTGCTTATGGTATAAAAGCTAAACTTTAAGCATTACTAAAACCCTTTTTTAGATCAATCTTACCCCAGTCTCCCCTTTTGCATCAAACATTCCTGTTAATTTTCTCTGTCTCTTTTCTTTCAAGGTCATGGTCCTTTAAGGCTGTGGTTATATTGCCCATTTCCTTCTTCCATTTCACCAATGGTTGAACTGCTGGGCCCCCTACCACAAAGGTTCCACTTCAGTGAACACTCTGTTCTCCCACCATGCATGGCTAGTGAGCATCTATTGTGTGCTGGGCACTGGGCCTTGTCCTGGGAGACCAGCATGGGTGTCAAGGCACTGTGTTGTGTTGATAGGCAAATACCTGCATGGCTTATCCTTGGGTCTCTGGTACTTGACAGTCAGGCAGAAAATGTTATCCTGATTTCCATAGAAACCCATATTAACCCTAGGTTCATCCAGATGAATTTGATTAAATCCCTTTCCCCAATTTCTTATATTGTGCAAAAGTTCACTAGAGAAGGTGAAGGGACAGTATGATGAACACCTGGGCACACATCACCTAGAGCAGGGGTCCTCAAACTACGGCCCGCGGGCCACATGCAAATACAAATATTGTATTTGTTCCCGTTTTGTTTTTTTTACTTCAAAATAAGGTATGTACAGTGTGCATGGGAATTTGTTCATAGTTTTTTTTAAAACTATAGTCCGGCCCTCCAACGGTCTGAGGGACAGTGAACTGGCCCCCTGTTTAAAAAGTTTGAGGACCCCTGACCTAGAGTCTAGAGAACCTAGGTTAACATCATGTTGTGTGTGTGCATTATCCAGTGTCTACTTTCTTCCTCCCAGATCGATGGCTTTGGAAAGTTTGTCTTGGTTATCCATTGTAAAAGGATAAAAATAAACATGCTCCTTCTCCTATTGTAGCATTTCAGTAGTAATAAAAAAATAACTTCAGTGGTTTTGGTTATTTTCTGCCAAAGTAAATGTTGGCTCTCTTTCAGCTGTAGTAATATAGCTTCTCTCAATTTGTTCAAGTTAAACTAAAGCAGGGCCAAGTTGAGAAATTAGTTTCTTGTTTTTTTCCCCCTTTCAATTTAGGAAAAAAATTAGATTTTGGATACTCTTGTTCCTATAATCCTCCTGGTTTTCTCCTCCTGAATTAAAAAAAGATCATGAATTAGCTGTCAGTGGAAGAGACAAAGATTCGATTGTGCGGTATTTATAGAAGGTGGTTGTGATAATCTTCAAGTAGGGTGTTTGAACCTCTATTGAGGGTAGTTAATTCAGCAGTTTCTTCTGAACAATAAATGCTAAGTACAGGGCTATAACCCTTTGGTTTTAACATGTGAGTTTTGCTCTTCTGCATTACCTGTGTATTACCTGGAAATCCAAGCGATATCAAATCATGCCACCATATATAAGTGATAACTCAGTATTATTATTATGTACTACCTGGCATTTGGAAGACTGATTTGGGGGTATATTAGAGAGTTTTAAGGGTGTCAGTGTTTGATTTTTGTCATTGTGGGAGAGCTGAATGTGCTATGCATTTGGGAGGTGGCTTCCAGTCAATCTCTACAAAGACTTGGAGGGCACACACGGGCTTACAAAATGCCAGGTGGCCTGCAGAGCCATTTGGGTTTGCCCCAGATTGTGTGTCACTTCATTTTGATTTACATGGTACCAGTAAGAAATAATTTTGTGTCCGAAAGAAAAAATAATGCGAATATATACTGGTATATAAAATTCAAATTCAAGATCAAATTCTGATGTTTTCAGAGCAAAATATGCAGTCCCACCCACTTTGTCCCATTCAATCTACTTTCTGTGTATTTACATTCATATTTATGGAGATAAATATATAGGGTTTTCTTTTTTGTCTTGTTTATATAAATGGAACGATGGGGTCACGTGTGATTTGGCCTTTTCTCACTTAACTATGTCCTGAAGCTCTTCCCATGCTGTTCTTTTTCATGCTGCTTGGCATCCGGCAGCTGCAGTGTGCTATAGTGTATTTAACTACTTCCTTAGGATTCGCTTCCTAGAAGAGTGCCTGGCATTGTGGAGGCAGTCAGTAGACATTTAGGTTGTTTCCACTGTTTAGTTTACTTAAAAATAGATTTGTTTTCGTACAACTTTCACACATGTGGGCATATTGGCATAGGATTGAATTGGAAGTAATGAGTTCAAGGGTACATGCTCAGCTTTTATAGTAGGAAGGGATTTTTTTTTCTTCCTAAAAGGTTTAATCAATTTACCACCCCCAACAGTGTATGAAAGTGTTTATTTCCCTTCCTTCTTGCCAACACTTGGTATTATAAAGCGTCTTTAGTTATTTTATTTTTTTGTTAATCCTCACCTGAGGATATTTTTCCATTGGTTTTTAGAGAGTGGAAAGGGGCGGGGAGAGAGAGGGGGGAACATCCATGGAATTGAACCTGATTTGCATTTCTTTGTATTGAACATTTTTCATTAGTCTATTGGCCATCCATGTTATTTTTGTTCATAACCTTTGCCTATTGTTATATTGATTTGTTTGTCTTTTTCCTACTGCTCTTTGTCAGAGATCTATGTTCTGGACATTAATTCAACAAATTGCAAATATTTTCTCTTAGTCTGTCCTTTATCCTTTAATTGTGTTTATAGTGTCTTTTCTTATAGAAGTTCCTTATAGAAGTTTTAAATTTTTTTTTGTATTTCAATTTTATTTTCCTTTGTGGGTTTTGGGTCTTGCTGAAGTATGCTTTCCTGATCTCAAGAATGTGAAAATATTCTCTAAGAAATTCTCTTTATTATTTCTCATCTAGTTAAATTCCACCCTCCAATTTCTTAATTCTCTCTACATTCTTCACGTTAGCCACTAAAATGGTATGAAACCTCAGCTCTCTGGAATCATCTAGTAATGACTTCTGACAAACATTTTATGGATACCTTAGGGTTTATCTCGATCTACCTACCAAAATAGGAGTTAAAGGGGTCAACAGCTATTGCACTGTTGTTACATACATCAAAGGTAGAAAATGGATGAAACTAACAGATAAAACTAGGATAAAATAGCTTTCATTGTGGTCAGATTTGCATTGGTAAGAGTCACTTTGAGGACTGGCTCTGAGCTTTTTGCCTAGATTGAATTCAATGTAGCTTGCCTTTTATCTGTTGTTCATATTTACCATCCATCAGATTTCTTTTAAGGGATAGAACTGTTTTAAAAGCATTTTATTTTAGACTCCCCTCTTCCTGAGTCTTGTTGTCACTTGCTACTTACTGTTACTCTGAATGTGTTCTTAAGTATATTTTCATCATGCAATTAATTATGAGAAACCAGTTAACTAGGCTATTACTGTATAAAGTAAAGCTAAAAAGTCCCTGATTATGGGACTGGGCCTCTGGGATAAAGTGTCATTACTTTTGTGTATGAACTTTGAAATTACTTTTGATTCCTCAGAGACCTTTTGTTTATTTTCTACTTTTCTAACATATTCCCTAATAAGTGAGGCTATAAGATAACTGAATTCTAGAAAAGAAGGCAGTGTCCTGTGTTTATAAACTTTTGCCTCCATAAAATTCATATTGCAGTAAGACAATTTGGAAAGTCTTTGGATTCTCTTATAAAGGAATTTTTGCTGTAAAACATGCATTATGTATCACACTTGTTTATTAAAACGCACTGTAATGAAAGAACAGCAGATTTATGCTGGTTTACTCGGCAACCTGCAACTTCAGAAGTATAACTAGGATTATTGGTTATACTAAGTTTGGAGTTTCTCTTTTTAGTATAGTGTTTATATTCAAATTACTGTTTTCTAAAAGTGCTGGTCTCTAGCATAATGGCCCACCAGAACCACAACTGACACTGGGACTCATTAGCCTGCCAGTTCATTTCCCTGAACCTATCTCATCTTCGATGCTTGCCCCTTTGTCCTTTGCCCATTTCCTAGATGGCAGTGAAAGGAATCTCTTACCACCTTAAAACCCTCCGGGGGCCTCCCATTGTCCTTAGCATCCGTTGGGCATTCTGGCCTGATTTTTGCAGCCTGGCCCTGGTGGCTCAGTGGTTGAGCGTAGACCTATGAATCAGGAGGTCATGGTTTGATTCCTGGTCGGGGCATATGTCCAGGTTGCAGGCTCCGTCCTGGATTGTGCAGGAGGCAGCTGATCAATGATTCTCTTTCATCATTGATGTTTCTATCTCTCTCTACCTCTTCTTTCCTCTCTGAAATCAATAAAGATATTAAAAAAAAGAACATTGCAGACCAGGCCAGGCCTGGTGGCTTAGCTGGTTTAGGCATTGTCCCATACCCCAGAGGTTGTGGGTTTGATTGCCAGTCAGGGTACATGCCTAGGTTTTGTGTTCCATCCCCAGTCCAAGTGCATATGGAAGGCAACCGTTAGATGTTTCTCATTCTTGCTCCCACTCCCTCTCCCCCTCCTCCTCCCTCTCTCTCTCTCTCTTTCTCTCTCTCTCTCTCCTCTCGCTATGTCTCTCTCTCCCCTCTCTCTCTTTCTCTCTTTCTTTCCTCTCTCTCTCTCTCTCTCACACACACACACACAACCTCCTTCCTCTCCCTCTCCCTCTCCCTTTCCCTTTATCTCTCTCTAAAATCAATAAGCATGTCCTCCAGTGAGGATTAAAAAAATAAAAGAACATTGCAGGCCCAGGGGAGAAGAGGAGTAAAAGCACAGGGCTTAGAGCAGCACGTGTCTATCTGTGTGTGTGTGTGTGTGTGTGTGTGTGTGTGTGTGTTTGTGCGCGAGTTAGTACAGTTGCTGGAGTAGAGATCAATGCAGGGCATGGAAGGAGGTGAGGTCAGAAAGATAGAACTTACTCCTGTCAGTAATCAAGAGTCAGTGAATCATAAACTTAAAGATGTTTAAGCTGGGGTAGTGGTGAACTGGGGGGTGGTGGTGGTGGCTTCATTGTCACTGTTAGGGCCTCAACCTGATTTTTCCTAACTGGAGAATTGACTCAGGGGGAGGGAGTGTCATCTGGGATACGTCTGGGAGCTTGGGACAAAGGGAGGATCCTGGAGCAGAAGTTGTTTTAAGGGAGAATGTAATGAACTTAGAGCCCTTTCTTTATGCTGGATCAACACAATTTCTTGGAAGAAGAAACCTAAAATTGCTTCAACTATTTAGGTAACTGGAAAACACCATAACAGATAACTAGAACTTGCCTAGCATGGTCTTTTGTGAATTTTCCGGATATAGAACCATCCCTTTGTCTTATGCAGACTTTTGGTATGACCAGATGTGCGATTTCTAATTGTAATAAAGTTTATTTTATACAAAAAGTAAGATTTTCAGAAATGAGAAGAATTAGCACTTTTAATTGAAAGTGCGTGCGCACGTGCTTGCGCGCACACACGCACACACACAACTTTTTATTTAATTATTTTACTCTGGCCCTTAAATGAAGATTGTGTGATCTAACTAAGTAAACTGACTGGCTGCCCAGCCAGTGTGGCTCGGTGGTTGAGTATTGTCATATGAACCAGGAGGTCATGAAGGCAGCGAGCGGATCAGTGATTCTTTCTCATCATTAATGTTTCTATCTCTCTCTTCCTCTCTGAAATCAATAAAAAAATATTTTTAAACTGACTGACTGTAGGATTCCAGAGACAGGCATGCAGTTTGCCATTCTCAGCTTGTGTAGTTGAACGCTAACTATTTGGTGTACCTGCTTTGTGGTGTAATGAAAATAAAGTTGGTATTGCTGCAAGTCTTGGTTGTGAGGAGTTTGCCCTATGATGACAAATAGTTTAATAGTTTCATCACTGAATAACTCCTTGGCTGTTTAGGGTTTTATATTTAAAATATATTTTATGTCTTATAAAAACACAAAAGAGGGACCACTTCTGCCAGACTGGTGGACCTCTGTTGGAGGGAATGTAAATTGGTGCAACCATTATGGAAAAACAGTACGGGGTTTCTCAAAAAATTAAAAACTCCCATACGATCCAGTTATTCCAGTTTGGGGTATTTATTTAAAGTAAATGAACAAACTAATTTTAAAAGATATCTGCAACTTCATGTTTATTGAAGCATCATTTAATACACACACACACACACACACACACACTAGTATACATATATATATTTATTGATTTTACAGAGAGGAAGGGAGAGGGACACAGAGAGAGAAACATGGATGAGAGAGAAATACTAGGGATCAAGCCCGTAACCCTGGCATGTACCCTGAACAGGAATCGAACTGTGACCTCCTGGTTCATGGGTTGATGCTTAACCATTGAGACACATCAGCCGGCCTATTGAAGCACTATTTACCATAGCCAAGAAATGAAAACCTAAAGGTCCATTGACTGATGAATAGATAAAGAAGATGTGGTGTACATACAATGGCATATTATTCAGCCATATATAGAATGAACTCTTCCCATTTGTGACAACACGGATGGCACTTGAGGACATTGTGCTGAAGGAAATAAGTCAGACAGACAAATACTGTATGATCTCTCATATATGTGGAATCTTTTGTATGACAAAAAACACAAACCCAGCTTATAGATACAGAGAACAAACTAAGAGTTGAGTGGTAAGAGGTATAAGTGGATGAACTTTTGCGTGTGTGTGTGTGTGTGTTTTTGTTTTGTTAAAAAATTAAAAATAAGAGACCTGACGTGGATAAAACTTCCTAACAATTTGGACAAATAATTAGGAGATACAAGGATGAGTGCACAAATCTCTTTACCCTGGGCTCCAAACAAACAACCCACAAGCAAAAGAGGAATCACTTCTGCGAGATCTGTGGTTTTTGCGTCTTTTGAGAGACTAGAACTTCATGTAGAAAGGTGTTTTTCATTCAGTCTCCTTCATTTTCTGATCTTGCTTCTTTTCAGTCAAAAAGTTTTCTTCTGTCCCTTTTAAGTAATTTAAGAATAACAATATCTTTGTCAGTAGCAATTTTGTAAGTGGCTTTGTCAGTAACATATTTATTAGTTTGAAGTAAATGGTATTTTTTTATTATTCTTGGCATAAATTACTGCCGTTTGGGCATTTGTGTAGTGTACATTCTAATGGTATCATTTTTGGAGTATTGTATTTGAGCTTGCAGATTTTTCCAGAGAAGACAGCAGCAAATCTTTTTTCTTTAAATTTTTATTATTTTTTAATCAGAGAGAAAGGGAGAGGGAGAGAGAGATAGAAACATCAATGATGAGAGAATCATTGATCGGCTGCCTCCTGCATGACCCCCAATGGGGATTGAGCCTGCAACCTGGGCCTGTGCCCTTGACCGGAATCGAACCTGGGACCTTTCAGTCCATAGGCCAATGCTCTATCCACTGAGCCAAACTGGCTAGGGCAGCAGCACATCTTTATAAAGCAGCGATACTTCAATATCCTCTCATATTTCTCAGCATTCCTGGTGACTTTCCCCCCACCTCTCTTCTTTATACATTTTTTCTTAGTTTTTGTGGTATGCTTTAAAGCTTATCTTTAAATGAAATGTTACAAAAATAGCACAAAGAATTTTTTTGATTTTTACCATTTTATCATATCCCTCTCCCTCCACATACTTATGAAATTCTGAACCATTAAAGGTAAGTTACAGACATAGTTGTCCCTTATTCCCAAATACTTCAGTATATATTTTCTAAAAGTAAGAATGTTTTCTTTAAAAACAAACAAACCACAGTACAGCTCTGCCCGGTGTTTCTCAGTGGTTAGAGTGTCGGCCTGCCCACCAAAGGGTGGAGGGTTCCATTCCTGGCCCTGGTTGGGAAGGCAGAAGACAACCAGTTGATGTGTCTCTCTCACATTGATCTCCCTCCCTCCCTCCCTAAAAATCAATGGAAAAAATATCCTCGGGTGAGGATTAACAAAAAAGAAAAACAAGAAAACCACAGTACAGTTAACAGTGAGAATATTAATACCAGGACCCCTTTAAGCTGTCTCTGGTATCTCTGTAACTGTCCTCATCATTCCTTGACTGCTTCCTGTGTTTCTGACACCTCAACGTGTGCCAGGCTCATCTTGTACTTTCCTAGCCCCTTAGGTATCTTGACCATTTTACGGTTTTTCAGGTATTGTAAATGGTTTTCTTTTTTTAAATTAAAGTTCATTTTCCTTTTGGCTTACACTGCAGTATTCATAGCACCTCAGGCGTGGTTTTTGTTCAAGTCGTGGCTACCTGCTTACATCCTATGACCATGAATTCCTCAACTAAATTAAACTAAGGCATCTTCATAGGTGGTGTTTTTATGTATTTATTTTTTTTCAGCTGTCATCCACCTACTATTTATCTGCTTAGGCTTTAAGTCACACCCTTTCCCAGAATCTCCTCTCCATGAGCACACAAGTCTGGTTAGGTTGGGGATATTTGGCCCCCAGTAACCCGGGTTGGTAGTTCGGTTCATTCTTTCTTTCCTCTTGACCATGGCTGTGGCAGAATCCTTTCCACACAGCACTCTACTGATCTTTAAGATTCGGCAGTGCAGGTGGAAAAACTCAAGTATTAGATTATTTAGTGAACCCTATATTTTCTCTATAAATGTTACATGTTACTGTTTTTTCCTTTTATAAAAAATAAATTTTATTGATTTTTTACAGAGACGAAGGGAGAGGGCTAGAGAGTCAGAAACATTGATGAGAAACATCGATTAGCTGCCTCCTGCACACCCCCCACCGGGGATGTTCCCCCACCCAAGGTACATGCCCTTGACCGGAATCGAACCTGGGACCCTTCAGTCCGCAGGCCGATGTTCTGTCCACTGAGCCAAACCGGTTAGGGCTGTTTTTTCCTTTTGAAGAGCTTATATGTAGTACAGAAAATTTAGAAAGTAGAAGACCAGAGAAATAAAAATTTTTATTGATTTTTAGAGAGAGAAAAAAGGAGAGGGAGAGAGAAACATCGATTGCCTGCATCCTACATGCCCCCTACCGGGGATCAAGCCCATACCAGGCATGTGCTCTGACCTCTTGGTACATGGGATGATGTTCAGCCCATGGAGCCACACTGTCCAGGACTGGGGAAATAGAATCTTTTTTTTTTTCCTCTTGCAGCTGTCTTTATTTATTTATTTATTTATTTATTTTGTTTTATTGCTTGAAGTATTACAAAGAGTATTACATATGTCTCCT